AACTGAAACCAGAGTCTGGAGTAATTGAGGAATTGTGGCTTGGAACCATTGGATGAAAACCTTGACTTGTATTGTGACATATTCTTTGCTTCTCCCACTCTCCAACTTCCTTCCTTAAAAAAATCCCTTTGTTGGTACCAAAACTAGGAGTCTGTGAGTCAGCAACGAATAAATGAACCTCTTGCTGTTGGTGTGGCTCTAGAGACATCATGGGGCTGGGCTACTACGGGATCTTTATCTGCTTCCTGCTCAGGGATAGTGAGAGGCTGTGCTATTTTCACGCCTTCTGGCCCTTTCAGAGAGATGCCTATGGCCCTGTCCTCCTGTGTCCCACTTTGTCCTACTTAGACACCATGCTTCCAGTCTTTTGACCTTTTATTCTTTTGGTTAGACTTAGCTGTTTAAATTATAAATCTGATCATATTAATTCTTTCCTATAGCTATTCAGTGACTTCCCATTACCCACATGGTAAATCTTAAAAGCTAAGTTGAAGAGTTTGGGATTTGGCTCTTGTTTTCCTTTCAGGCTTCTCTTGGTCTTTGCATCCCCAGTTCTTGGTACTTCTACTTCCTTTACTTTTTCTATTTATCCCTGAGATACCTTTGATTTAGCTAATGACTCCTGCAAAACTTCATGGGCTGACTGAGTTCTAGTTGTAAACACAATTGTCTAAATTGACCCTTTCCATAACACTTATACCTTATAATTGTTTATTCTTACACATAACTCTTCCTTTCCACCTATCACTAGATTATAGATTCTATGAGAGTTGAGACTGTTTCTACCAGTATATTATTATCCCTAATGCATTAACTGATAAATAATAAATACACGAAAAAGTACTGAAATAAAAGCTGTATTGTATATGATCATTTTAAATAGTGTTAAAGGATAAAGCGTTAGAATTTGTATGACATTTTCTACCCATCATTCCCCCTAGGGTTCCAGCCTCTTAAGTTTTTTTCTCTTTCAATCTTTTTATAACCATCAACTCTTGAAAGATTCAAATGTTCTTAAAACAGGCATAACTTTTAATGACGGAAATAGACAATGAAAATGCTTTAAGTACTGTGTTTAAAGGTAAAAAATGGATTGAAATAGTAAGGGAACAAAATTAAAGAGAGCTAATACAAATTTGGAGTCAGGAAATATTTTTACTTAAAACTTGAGCTGAGTTTTTCAGTTAAAGAATGGGAAAATACTATTCCAGAGGAAGAAAATTGAGAGTAAATGTCCACTAAAGAATTAGAGAAGGTGGCACTAGAATACTAAAGCCTTGGGTAGGAAAGCAAGCTGGAGATGGATAGAGGGAAGTTTGTTTTAGAACTTTTACTGGGTGGGGGTTGCACTGGAGGAAATGAAAGGTAAAACATAACCTATCGGGTAATTAAAGAGATAAGGGAGAATAACTAAAATTCAATAACTAAACAAGATTTGGGAGGGGGATATAGAATAGAGTGAGTAATAAACTGAAAAAAAAATTTTGGAGACTCATTAGACTTTTGAGATTAGATATATTTGTGTAATGAACAAAGAGATCTCACTCCTTCTAACTCCTTCATTCTTTCCTGTAGCTCCTGGCCATTATGATGCAAGGATTTCACAGAAGAACTTGCAGAAGTAAAAATATCCTTTGCAATAACTATAGGATAGCAAGTGTTGAGGGTGCTGCAGGAAGGGAAAACAGGTGAGATATTCGGAGACAGTGGTTGGCATTTATGAGTGAGAAGTTTTTCTGTGATAAAATTAGTTTGTGAGGAAAGATCTCTCAATGCCCTGTTACTCAGTAATCACTTTCGGTTTACCTACTTTTAAAGCATATAGTCTTCTGCTTCTAAATCATCTAGAATCATCGTTGTTGTTGTTGTTAGTTGCCATTCATTTGCCTGTGACTCATAGCGACCCTGTGTACATTAACTCTGAACCCTGCTCTATCCTGAGCCCTTTTCACTCTCCAACACAGCTGTCTCTGTTACCCCAGATATTGTGTCAGGGTTCATCTCATCTGGGTTCTTCCTCTCCTCCATTGCCCCTCTACTCTTCCAAGCTTGATGTTCTTCAGGGCCGGATCCCTCTTGGACATATGCCCAAACCATGTGAGATGGACCCTCAAATCCTTGCCTCCAAGGAGGAGCTTGGTTTCACTTTCTCCTGTTTGTTCTCTTAGCAGTCTGTGGTATGTTCACTACATTTCTTCACTTTGAGCACCACAGCTCAAAGGCATCAATTTTTCTTCTGTTCATGTTTGGTCATTATCCAGCTCTCTGATGTATACCAAGTAATTGTGAAGACTATGGCCTGAATCAGGCATACCTTAGTCTCCAGACTGACATTATTGCCCTTCAGCACTTTTGAGACGTCTTTCCCAGAGCAATTCATCTTTCTATTCTTACCTGCTGGTACCAAGAGTGTTGATTGTGGAGCTAAGAAAACTGAAATTGTTCACAACCTCAATCTGTTCTCCATCTATCATGGTGCTGCCAAATGACCCAAGGATGAGAATCTTTGTCTTCTTGATGTTGAGATTCAATCCATATTGAAGACAATACTCCTTGACCTGCAGCAAGTGCTTCAGGTCCTCCTCCAATTATGCAAGCAAGATTATGTCGTCCAGATAACGTAGGTTGTTGATGAGTTTTCCTCCAATGCTGATGCTACATTCCTCCTTATAAAGTCCAGCCTTCTAAATGATCTGTTCTACATATACATTGAAAAGGTATAGAGACAGGATGCATCCTTGATGCTGTCCTTTCTTGATTTTGACCCATGATTGTTTCTTTGCTCTATTCTGACAACTGTATTTCTAGTACTTCTCTGTTGACATATTGTTCCAGTCTTTTTTGGATAATCTTCAGCAGGATTTTGCTTACATGTGATATCAGTGATATATTGTTCGATAATTTCCGCACTCTGTCAGGTCACTCTTCTTTGGAATGAGAACAGATAATGAATCTCTTCCAGTCAGTTGGCCAGGTGGTTGTCCTCCAGATTTCTTGCTACAACTTAGTGAGCATGTTCAGGGCAGCATCTGTCTGTTGAAGTATGTCCGTTGGTATACATCAGTTTGAACGTCCTCCTTCATCACCATTACCTCTTGATCATATGCTTTTTCATGACATTCTTCTTTATCAGCCAATTATTTTTGGTACCGTAACTCCATGTACTCCTTCCATCTTCTTATCATGCTTTCTGGATCATTCCGTTTTCTGCCTGTAGCTGTCTTAAATATTGCAACTCTAGGCTTGAATTTATTCTTCAGTTCTTTCAGCTTAAGAAATGCTTAGTGAGTTCAGCCCTTTTAGTTTTCTGAAAGACTCCAGCTTTTTGCACATTTTGTTTTAATACTTTGTCTTCCCAAGCTCTCCTTGAAATCTTCTGTTCAGCTCTTAACTTCCTGATTCCTTCCCTTTGCTTCGCCTTCTCTGTGCTCTAGTGCAGTATTCCGAGTCTCTACAAATACCTGTCTCAGTCTTGTCTTCTTCCTCCTGTATCTTTGCAATGACCTCTTGCTTTCTTCATGAATCATTAGGACATTTTTAAATTTTCCATTCAAAACATCTTTGCCAATGTTACTCTTTCAAGAAGCATAGCTTTCTCTTAGGATCCTTCTTTCAGTCTTTAAAAAAAATAAAAACAACACAAATCTCTGTTGTCTGTTAGAAGTTACAAAATCTTAAATAATGGATTTGAAGTAACTTTGGAAGTCATTTTGTCTCAAGTCCTTTGTCTTATAAATGAAGAAATCAAGCAGCAAATCCATTCAGGATCCCACAGCCAGTTAGTGGCAGGTGGGCTTCAGTGGAATCTGCTGACTCTGTGACTCTGTTTTTCCCATTATTGTGCAAGGCCTTTGAAGGCCTGGAAATAGTGAACAAGCTTGGTCTGTAGAGAACCCATCTTAGAAACTCAGTTTTAAAATATTTGTATCATGGTTTTAATTTGTTAGTTAAATATCTAACCTGATCTATAAACTCCTTTGACAACACCTGCAACTGAGTATTTTAATCACATCAGCTTGTGCATAATAGCTATTTGGTAATTAGTTTTTTTAATCAGTCATGCCTGCCCAATCACTAATTGACTTTCTTCCTTTCATTTTAAAGAGTGAGTTTTCTTTTTCTCTCTTCAGTACCTTTCATATATATATTTTTTTCTACAACAGACTTCACAAAGCTGCTAAAAAGATGTATTTTTCTGTTATTAAATCACTATGTAGTGCATGCTTAAGATAATTCTGTGTTCATATTGCCTCATACTATAATTTCGTAATACTTGTTTTTTCATTGTTATAAAATAATAAACATGAAAAGCTAACTTCCATTACATATATTATATAAACTTGAGAAAGGGTTTTAAAATGTACTCCTAGTGCCTTGGTGCTATAGTGATTAAAACACTTGACTCCTAACCAAAAGATTGGTGATTTGCACTACTGTACATGAGAAGGACGTGGCAGTCTGCTTCCATAAAAGTCCATAATGTTGGGAACCTTATGGAGGAGTTTTGCTGTGTCTTGCTGGCTTTTGTGAATTGGAATTGATTTGACAGCAAAGGAGTTTTTACAACTCCTTGGCAGTTCTTTAAATTAACCTGAAGTCTTAGCTTGTCTTTGGTTAGAGCATTCATTGTGTTTCTTTATATTGTTCGTATAGTTCATAATATTCACTAAGTCATCTATTTCTCTGTGAATCATGTATGTTACTCATCCTCATCCTTACTTTCAGAGTTTTATCATTTCTTTACCAAGGAATATTACTTCAGAGCTTTTAAAAACTTGTTACTCCTTTGATAAGAAGAGCCAAAAAGAAAAGTTCCAAGTAAGATGTAATTGTTTACATCTGTTTTATTTTCAGGCTACTGAAAAAGGTCCTTCTTTTGAGCCCTGTATAATTTGTGCATCACAATTTTCTTAGTATAAACTGAGGAGGTATTATAGAATTGCAGCTATTTGATGATATTCCCTAATTACATTATTTTCCTAGAGAACTTCGTAGAAGACATGACTTCCAGAGAAGAGAATACAAAGAATACAGGCAGAGTGCTAAGAATAAGTCAGCTGGATGCACTTGAACTAAACAAGGCCCTGGAGCAACTAGTTTGGTCCCAGTTTACTCAGTGTTTTCATGGATTTAAACCTGGGCTGTTAGCCCGCTTTGAACCTGAGGTAAAAGCATTTTTGTGGATTTTCCTGTGGAGATTCACTGTCTACTCAAAAAATGCCACTGTGGGTCAGTCCGTTTTGAATATTCAGTACAAAAATGATTTTTCTCCAAACCTGTGATACCAGCCACCCACTAAAAATCAAAAGCTATGGTATGCCATTTGTACTATTGGTGGGAAGTGGTTAGAAGAATGATGCTATGATTTGTTTCGAAACCATCATTTAGCATCATTCTTAAAAGTCAAACAGTGTGTGAATATTGTGGTTGGACTTTTGAAATTAGGTGAGTTGATTAATTTTTTTATTTTTCTTCAAAGAGGGAAGTTTGCAACTTTGACAGAACGTCTCCTAGGCATTCATTCTGTATTTTGCAAGCCCCAAAATAGGCGTGAAATTGGCTTTGAGTACATGAATAGAGAACTTCTCTGGCATGGTTTTGCTGAGTTTCTGATTTTTCTCTTACCACTTATTAATGTCCAAAAGTTGAAAGCTAAGTTATCTTTATGGTGTATTCCTTTTACTGGTGCTCCTAATAGTGACAATACTTTGGCTACCGGTGGCAAAGAATGTTCTTTATGTGGAGAGTGGCCTATCATGCCTCATACTATAGGATGTGAACATATCTTCTGTTACTACTGTATTAAGAGTAGTTTCTTATTTGACATGTATTTTACTTGTCCTAAGTGTGGTACAGAGGTGCACAGTTTGCAGCCTCTAAAATCAGGAATTGAAATGTCAGAAGTGAATGCTATTTAGAAATTAAAATTGCTTCTCCTAAGGAAATTTAAATTATGTTTAATCCTTCATTTTAGCATCTTAAGTATAGTATTTGAATATCTGATATGATGGGGTGGATATGCATCTTAGCCACTGTTCCTTTCTAAGCATAACCGAATGCTAATGCTAATCCCTGGAAACTACAATATTGTTAATGTATTTTTTTTAAAATCCTTGCCTTTCAAATTTTAATTTCAAGAATAATGGATAGTTTTGTCATATGACTACTAAGAATGTTCTTTCATTTTACTACTTTCCAGGAAAGGAGTTGAATTCTAAAAATAAAAGATTTGAAAACTCTGGATGACTATGCATTTGTTTTTTGAGACAGTGTTACAATATCATAATCTGAAAATTTTATGATTCTGTTGTTTTAAGTCTTAAGATCTTAAGTTTTAAGTCTTAAGATGCTCCTGTTGTAATGTTACAAACTTTCTTCAGAGAAATGCTTAAAAGGTTCATTCCCCAGCTGTCAGAGCACTTCAGAGTTGGACTCTAATATTCAACAAGTAAAAATTTCTTAAGGTAGCTTAGAAGTGAGTCATGAAAAAAAAAAAAAGAAGTGAGTCATGGCAACTGCTAAAACAGCCCATAAGAAGAGCACTTTTTACCAAATCTCTTTGGTCGAACCTTTGATTCAAAGCTTATATTGTCACTAAGCATATTAATAACTTATGAAAAATTCAGTGATCTTTAGCATAGTAATAATGTAATAGTATATATAAAGATAATTCTGTACACTTTATCTTCTCTGCATTTTACAGAAATGAACCTTTTACTAAATAACTGTATGGGAAATATTTGCAGTGCTTCAAATTTCATTTCAAAATAAATATCAATTTGTTTGATACATGGGGGAGTGAGGGAAATTGGAAGAATCCATTTGTGAAAACAATGTATTTGAATTTTGTAAGTATACTAGTATAATTTTTTTTTAAAAAAGGTCATTTTTTTTTTCAATTTCCCTACATCCTCAAAGACATGTGGTTTGAACCCACCAGCTGATATGTAGTAGAAGGATTAACAATCTCCCATGTGATTTACTATGTCTGAAAATCTGCGGGAGGGTCAGTTATGAGTCAGTTCTACCTCAACAGCACGTAACAACAAAAAACTGAACTAAAATATGTTGGACTTTGGAGAAAGGATAACATATTAAGATAATACCTATTGATTTTAAAGTTAGTCATTTCAGAGTCGTCTAATAACTGGCCTTCATTGGGTTTCCAAGACTGTAAATCACACCAGAGGAGATTGCCCATCTTTGTCCCAAAGAGCTTCTAGTGAAGTTAAACCACCAAACAGATGAAGGGTTTAGGTAACCAGCAGGCCTGCCTGACAGACTGTGCCACCAAAGGTCTCTAACAGTCATAGAGTAGTCAAAATTTTAATACATTCAGTTGACTACTGCACAGATGAAGTAACTATACCAGTAAACTCTTCCATTTATTAAATCTCTTGAAAGGATGCCAGTATAGCTTGAACTTTGAATAGTCTCAAATCTTAAGTAGGAAATGTCTAAAAATCCAGTTTTTATATAAGAATCTAGTTTAAAATAAAAAAGTTTTGCTGTGTCGACTCCCAACTCGCAGCAACTCAGTTTTCAGTGGGCAGAAACCCTGTTCAATTGGAAATTGAAAAACTGCCCAGTCATCTCAGTAAAGTCATTTTGCAAACTCAAAATCCTTTGATGAAAAAAACACCCAGATAGCAGTTTCAGCATGATGTGTATTAAAACCCCCAGTTAATGTCACACTCAAGTGATAAGATGTACACTCCTGCACCCCTTCCATCTAATTCTGTACTGGGTGTTCTAGCCATTAGGTAAGAAAAAGAAATTAAGACTAGGAAGGAAGGGTGTAAAACTGTTACACCTAGTACATTTTTTGTGGGTTCTTAAGTTTCTAGATATAAGAATATATCATCAGTAACTAGAAAGAGAGTCATAAAAGTTTCAGGATGTAACATCATGGATAAATGGGCCATATTTTCATACTTTGGCAATGAACATATGAGGAAGAAAAACCATTTCATTTGCAATGGAATTAGTAAGTACATAGAAATTAACCAAAAAGGCACAGACTTTTTCACAGAAAACTGCAAAGCACAACCAAATAAATGGAAAGATATCCCTTGCCCATGGAATGGAAAACTTACTATTGTTAACATGACAGCACTACCTAAGAGTCAGTGAAAATCCTATCAGAATGCAAAACAAAAACATCAGAGAAAGAAGACAAACCTGTTCTAAAATTCATATGGAATTTCAAGCATCTATAATAGCTGAAACAAGCTTAAAACATAATAAAATTGAAAAATTTGCCTTTCTTGACTTTAAAACTTAACTGGAAAGCTGATGTAATAATAAAATATAATACAGGCATAAGAGTAAATATATCAGTGAAATACATTAAACTCATATCTAAGTTTAATCAGTTTTATAAAGAGATCCTGACTATTCATTGGGGGAAAGTAATCTTCTCAACAAATGGGAAAATTGGATTCCTATGTTTAAAATAATTAAAGTCTTATTTTATATGACATACAAAAAGAAACTCAAATGGGTCAAACAGCTAACTTTAAAAGTTAAAGCTATAAAATTCCTAAAAGCAAATACACACGATCTTGAATATGATTATAATGTCTTAAATATTTATAGTGTAATCAGCAAAAGAATAAGTTAAAATGGACTTTATTAAAATTTAAAACTTTTGTATATGAAAAGACAGTATCAACAGTAAAAAGACAAACTACAGAATGACAAAAAAAAATTGCAGGTTATGTATCTGGTAAAGATTAAATATGCAAAATATACTTCAAATATATCCTTCAACTCAACAGCAAGCATGAAGCCAGCTGATTGTTAGAGGTTGAAAATCACATGACAGGAGATTAGAACTGCCAGAGACACCACCTTTGAATTAGCATTGCTACTCCCTATCCCTCAACAACAGACAACCCAGTAAGAAAGTGATCGAAGAACTTGAATGACTATTACTGTCCTTTATTCATTGGGTTTTATTGTTTTTGTGTTTGAGTGCATTAACACTGTCACTATCAGAACGGTCAGGAACTTCGAAGTTAAATAAAGCCTTAAAAAACCAACATAGATTTTTCATAAACTTTCTTGCACCTGCTCCTAAGTAGACATGCTACCAGAAAGGTCTAGTCTTTGGGAAAAGATAACCATGCTGAGAAAGGCAGAGGGTAAGTGAGAGAGAGGCCAACCCTCAGTAAGATGGTCTGACAACAGTAGCTGTCATGAAGAGCTTGAGCATGGCTGAAATTATGAAGATAGTACAGGATAGGCCTGCCTTTTTTGTCTATATCATTATTAATTTTAATGAAAGTTTACAGAGACTTAGGGTTTCCAGTCATTCATAGTCGCCCTTTTCTCCTTGTTGAGTAAAAAAAAAAACACACCTCATTCTATACAATCCCTCCCCCCAAGTCCACTGCTCTGTGCAGCCTTCATTCTGGACTCCTGTCATGACAATAATACCTAATCATATATCCCCTTTAAACAGTTCTCTCATCTGTTGCAATGGACCTGCCTTATTTTTAAAAGAAGGAGTCCTTATAATTTAGTGGGTAAGTGCTCATCTATTAGCCAAAACGTTGGAAGTGCAAACCCCACCAATTGCTTTGCAGGAGAAAGATGTGATGGTATGCTCCTATATAAATTGTTGATTGCCTTCAAGTCGAGCATGACCCAGAGTGACCCTATGAACAAAAGCCCTCAAGCTCCTCCACAACATATTGAAGTTTATCAAAGTTTACATAGAGTTTCCAAGAGGCATGTTTAGGAAGTAGATGCTACTCCTGCTTCCAAGCCTGTAATAGTGTTCTTGTTATGTGTCATTGAGTCGCCTGTGATGTATAGAGACCCTTTGTACAGCAGCTCTGAACCCTTGCCTGTCCTGAGCCAGTCCCATTAATTCCAATACACCAACCCCCCATTGCTCCAGTCACTATATCAATCCATCTCATCTGGGGTTTTCCTCTCCTGCGCTATATAAACTACCTATATAGAAACCCTCATGGGACAGTTCTACTTTCTTCTGTAAGCTTGCTATGAGTTAGAATCAGCAACAATGGGAGGTTTTTGTTGTTGTTCTATTTAGAAGAGGGACCCATAGTGGCAACAGTGCTTGGCTCTGAGTAACAGTTCGAAGGCATACCAGAGGAGAAAGATGTGGCAGTGTACTTTCATAAAGATGAAAAGAAAGCCTTGGAAACACTATGGAATGGTTCTACACCTATTCTGTTTTAGGTTGCTGTGAGATTTAGAATTAATCTGTTGGTAACAGACAGCATTTTAATACTCTTTCCTCAATAGAGTAAACATAGGAAAAAGGAGGTTAAAACTAGTAAGAGCAAGCCTATTTAGAGTAAGCAATACTAGATAACCTACTTTCAAAGAAACAGAAGAACTTAAACCATAATCTGCTAAAATTTAAAATAGGGACATTTCGTGATGACTGAATACTAATGGTGTATATTCAATAAAAGCTGCCTTACATTCTGCGTAATTGGTTATAAAGGCAAGAAAATTAGCTTTGTGGTATTTGTAAGAGCCTTCAAAATGTTGGCACTGAAAGATAAAAAATATATTCATTTGGAACATTTGCTTTTAACAAAAAGCTGTTTTTCCTAACACTCAATAACTTAAATGTTACAGCATTAAGAAAAGTTATTTTTAGCAGTGCAACAATTCCAAACATACCTTTACCCAAACAGAGTGACTATATTGTCTACAGAACTCATGATCCATAGTTTTCTGCAGCTAAAACTAGTATATTAATCATCACAAATAGGAAAGTATTTTACTTTTGTATCTCTTCTGCTCTCTTTTATCCTTTTTCCTGCATAAATCTTGAAACAGGCAAAATATGCCTGTTTCCAGAATAGAGACTTGTTTGAATAAAGGCCGTCAAACCTTGCCTTGACTGCAAAAATATAAATGTAGAACAGGGTTA